GCCAGCCGTTCCAATGGCTTAGTCAAATTGTTTCTATCCGCTAACCTCATACTCCTAATGATCATTTACCTCAAAATACCAACATTAGTTTTGTAACTATGGTTGGAAAGAAAATTAAGCAAAGAGCCAACATATGTTGGCTTACTACAAACCATTCTGGCTAACTTACCCTTTTCTCCAATGATGAGAACATCCAGAAAGGATAAGGACTCATTCTCTTCTATTTCCATTGTGAACCTAACGTTATCTTCACGCTGGTTGAGTTAAAGTAGGTATATTATCTAAACTTTTCTTGCCATGAGGCCAGATGCCAAAAATAATCATCCTTGTATCTAACCATTTGTTCGTATAACTTACCATCGAAGGTAAAATATGTGCTACACATGGATCGGTTAAGAAGTCTATCTATGCACATTGCGCTCAACCTTATTCTTTGTATGATTTCTGGATACTCCTTCACAGCTTGTATTAGAGCCTAAATAGTTCCTTGTACAGAAATGTTTGTGCAATCAGACACGACATCAAAACTTATTAACCTATCTTCTTCTGAAATTATTTGCTAATCAACTAATTCCATAAACTCATAGGAATTTTTAACTGAATAGTGCCAAAATCGGCAGTCTTTCTTAGTTGTATGGATAAAAACCGTGAGAGTCTATGCATCACGCTTCCTTTATTATTTACAATTAATCTTAGAGGGACACCCTCCTTCCAAACCTTAGGAAGAACGTAAGATGTGGAGATTTTTGCATCTCTCCATTCCAACTTTACTTACGCATACTTTAAGGGCATCCTTTAGCATAGTCTCTCAATAAAAGCATATACGTGTCAGTGTCACATAAAGGAACTAGCATTTTTTCTACATAACTTGACCTACCCATGACTACCACTGCCCCACATTTGTCGGCCGCCATAACGATTAGATTACTACCAGATAGATATCAATAAACTCTATTAGGAACACAAGCTTTCTTTGGCGGGATTAAATGGACAAAATGGTTGTCAACCTGAAGGTCGTATTAAAGCCAAACTCATGCAGTGCATTGGGATTTAGTCGTCCTCTTCCGGTGAGATCGAGCTTCGAATCTCTTCTTCATGCCCTTTCATACGAAATGAAAGTCTCCCCAACAATGTTATCTCAGGAGATTCATCGAAACCCAGTTAATCTTTATATCTACAATACATTCATATACGACAGCAGCTTCCTCTTCACCTGTTCTCAGTCGCCATTACTGAAACATTCTTTCTGACGCTATCCCCGAGAAAGTCTCTGAATTCGATTCTGGTTAAAACATGCCGAATATTCGTTCGTGATATGATATACATCATGAGAACAGGGTATTATTCTCACAACCATTTATTAAGCCTGACGAATCAAGAAAACGCTCCGACTTATCCTCAAATGCTGTATATGTATTCCATGTCTATCTATCTATCTATCTATCTATCTATCTATCTATATATATATATGATTTTTTGAAGCATAAAGTGATTTGGTTAGTTCAATCTGGATTTCTATCTAGAAGCATGTGCGTGTGCGTGTGTGTGTGTATGAAACCAGTTTGGAGTAATTTTCTAAAAACGCAAAATCTGTCCTTGTTCATAAAAGTTTAATGGTCAACATCATCATATTTTGCATATTTTCATCACCCTTCCGACTGCGTAATATCATACATGTTTTGTACCAATTACTTTTAATTATCACTAGGCGCACATGTTTCAAGATTTTAAAATGACTCAGATTGGCCAAATCACTTTATTTCTTACCAGAAAGCATAGATATAAGGCCTATATTCAGGATTTAGGGATAAGCAGATGAGTTTTTCATATGGTTGTAAGAATGATACTTTTTTCCGATCATGTCCGTCACATCATGTAAGCATGCTCAGCACGTTTTCACCCGAACCGAATGAGAAGATTTTCTCAGACATAGCGTCAACAAGAGAGTTCCAGTAAAGCAAAACGACAGCCGGCCATGAGGAACCCGCCTTTGTCCTCTGGTGGGATCAAGTTTCAAAATGTAAGTGAGTTCAACAATAGTTTATAAATTGTTTAAGTTCGGACATGCATAAACAGGGATGAATTTCCCCTTTTGGCACAGGAGATGAAATGAGGTCTGCTTTAGATGAGACCGCAAGTTCAAATGGAGGTGAATTTTGCCTTAAATTGGATAAGCAAGCCCCGAGTTTTCGACTACCAGAAAGCAAGCGCACAACTACATACACTCACAAGTCAAGGAGATGCGCTAATAGTTGCTACGCCATTATCTACATCACCGATATTTCTTTCCTGAAACATTCAGAGTGACACGAAACCCCATCTTCTCAGTGGAGGGGTAAAAGTTGAACTAATTTCGCATTCAATATCATCATCAAACGGTAAGAAGAATTTCTCGACATTAATAAGTTTATTAGAGGCGGGAACTTTATATAGATTTCAGACATAAAATAGGTAGGAAAACATGATTACTTATAAAAAAGAATGTCTTAAAGGCAAACGAATGAAAATATTTGACAGTGCCACGATAGTGTCTATAATTATACATTTAGTGAGTCGGACAAATTAGGATATAAAAATGCTCAAATAACGCCTCAACCTAAAGAGGCGGCCAGGACTAGATCAACAGCCCAAATATGAACATGTCAGACGTTTTGATGAATTCGGATTAACTCTTTGCATTCTGATGGCTGTTAGTCCTTGAGAGGCAAAAAGTTGCCTAGAACTCGTTGTCATCGGCCTCCTCTTGGGCATTGGTGTCACTGGCTATCTCCTCGTAGTCCTTCTCCAGCATGAAGAGATTATCTCTAGCCTCCTGGAACTCCGCCTCCTCCATGCCCTCCCCTACGTACCAATGGACGAATGCTCGTTTGGAGTAGAGAAGGTCGAACTTGTGGTCGAGACGGACCCAGGCGTCCTTGATCGCTGTCGTGTTGCTCAGCATACAGACGGCCCTCTGCACCTTGGCAAAGTGAGAGCCCTTAACCGCTGTCGGGGGCTGGTGATTGATGCCAACTTTGAAGCCGGTTGGGCACCAGTCAACGAATTGAATGTGTTGCTTTGCTTTGATCTTGACGATAGATGAGGTCACATCTTTCGGCACCACATCGCCGCGGAACAATAGGCAGCAGGACATGTATTTGCCCATGTTGGGGTCGCATTTCACCATCTGATGATCGTTGGTGAAACAGGAGCTGGTTAACTCGTTCACTGAAAGCGATTCATGCATCGCCTTGTCCTCTGAGATGATCGGTGCGTACGTGGTGAGCGGGAAATGGATTCTGGGAAAGGGAACCAAGTTTGTTTGGAACTCGTTGAGGTCCACATTGAGGGAGCCGCCGAAGCGGAGAGAGGCTGTGATGGAGCTGACTACCTGTGCTACCAGTTGGTTCAGGTTCGAGTAAACCGGCCTGTCAATGCCTAGTTTTTTGCTGAAATTGTGGGCAAATGGATGTGGATAAGAAGAAAACATGGGCAAAATAAGTGCATATATCAGCCATCAAGTATAAAGCAAAACTCTTCAAAAAGTGCACTTACAAGTATTATGCATTATTTGCCCTGGACGAATTTCATCAAAATGGTGGAAGAATGGCTTGCATTTCGAATAAGAGGGCGAGATGAAAGATTTGCAGTTTGATCCTAACCGAAGACGAACAATCTGTTTGATGCTATTCTTGATCGGTTCCAGTAAGAAATATGCTTATCTTTCAAAGATATGAAGAAAAACAGGGTTTCTAAGATTTTTTCAACGAAATATTGCGGCATCCCTTTCTAGTTCGAAGGGAAAGTCGGTTAAAAGGAATGAGTTATGTGGTCTCACCGGAAACAGATGGAGGATTGCTGAATTGTGCGAAGAAGTCCTCGTTGCTCAATTTAACGGATAGTTTCCCAGGTGATACTAGGAGTGACATTGAACTATAAGTTGTCCCTTTAATTGATGATCATTTAGAAATAACGTATAAGAATAGGACAGCTATGCTCGATTGGTTCCAGCGAAAATATGCTTAGCTTTCGTTCGTCATTTCACAATACAAAAGGTGCCAGATCAGAGTACCGTTTTTCAATTACTTCAAGCTAATGAGTAATAAAGGTCTACAAGGTAAAATAATGGATGTTAGGTAGCCTTTGAAAGTATATTTTTAGGCCTGTTTGAGATAAATTTGATGTGGCAGGCTGGAGAGATATCCGATGCGTTAATACAATGCGAGACAGGGTCATAATTACAGTTCAGCCTGGGCGAGAATACCTTTTGGGAGGCGGGGCTAAGTGAAATTCCATGGTGTCGTAAAGCCTAATCATGTGATTATGAGAAAATCCAATTAATAGTGCTTATATTATATTAGATTCCGGTAAAAAGGTGCTAATCTTTCGTCTGTCATATAAAGAACATCATCAGAGCAAGCTAAAGAGTCAAGAAAACTCACTTGCAAATCCCTCGTTAGATTGAATTTGGTTGTGAAGATGATACCTTGCTCTGATGATGCTCATCATAGGACTAAGTGAACTAAGGTTAATACAGCTCAAAGTTAAGTTTTGTTATTGGTGCCTCGGTGTCACTAATGCGGGATAGTAATGTCGAATTTGATGTCAACACATGCTTGCTTTGTCGATGCATGTCCACAAAAGATATGAGTCGGAAAAAACTTGTCATGTCTTGATTGCAAAGTTAGATTTGTAAGCTAATGGCTTTACAGCCATTGCAAAAGAAACTTTTCCTTCATTGGATCATCTCTTTGTGGTTCCGGATACCTTTCAATGTGCTGATGAGGCCCAACTAGAAACGGAACTGAATCTCACCTTGAATGGAATTCCAATTTCTAGCAGCATAGCACAAAAATATTCATTTCGAGTGAAAGTGTTTGGTGAAGAGACTCGAAGGTCGAGTCCATTAGAATACGAGTGTGGATTCCTCTTGACCAATTGTCGATTGGATTTACTGGAAACTTAATGTTGACGCTGTTTCCAAAGTAATCTCCTTCGATTCCGGTGAAAAGGTGCTAAACTTTCGTCCATCATATGACGAATATCATCAGAGCAAGGTATCCTCGTCACAACCAAATTCAGGCTAACGAGTCAAGAAAACTCACTTGCAAATCCCTCGATAGATTGAATTTGGTTGTGAAGATGATACCTTGCTCTGATGATGCCCATCATATAACTAAGTTAACTAAGGTTAATACAGCTCAAAGTTAAGTTTTATAGTTGGTGCCTTAATGTCACTAATGCGGGATAATAATGTCGAATTTGATGTCAACACATGCTTGCTTTGTCGATGCATATCCACGATAGATATGAGTCGGAAGAAACATGTCATGTCTTGATTGCAAAGTCAGCCTTGTAAGCTAATGGCTTTACAGCCATTTCGAATGCAACTTTGTCGTCATTGGATCATCTCTTTGTGGTTCCGGATACCTTTCAATGTGCTGATGAGGCGCAACTAGAAGCGAAAATGAATCTCACAAGTAAATTTATTTCGAGTAAAAGTGTTTGGTGAAGAGACTCGAAGGTCGAGTCCACCAGAATACGACTGCGGATTCCTCTTGACCAGTTGTCGATTGGATTTACTGGAACCTCCATGTTGACGCTGTTTCCGAGGTCACAACCATATTCAAGCTAACGAGTCAAGAAAACTCACTTGCAAATCCCTCGATAGATTGAATTTGGTTGTGACGATGATACCTTGCTCTGATGATGTCCGTCATATGACGGACGACAACTTAGCACCTTTTCACCGAAATCCAAGGAGATTACCTCGGAAACAGCGTCAACATGAAGGTTCCAGTAAATCCAATCGACAGTTGGTCGACCTTCGAATCTCTTCAGAAAACATTTTCACTCGAAATGGAAGTAAGCACGACAGGGACATTCGATGGCAAATCGGGTTTTCTCTAAAAGTAATCAAATACAAATCAACCTTTTATGCGATAAATGCACAGAATTGCAATATGTCAAGCTTGCAAATGTCTCACTCACA